CAAAGATCAATAATAGGAAAATAACAGCCAATTAAAAAAAATAGGCAGAGGTTTGAAAAAGAAGATGGCAAATAAGCACAAAAAATAATGCTCAACGTCATTAGTTATAAGAGTGAAAACTAAAACCTCAAAGAAATACCACTGCCCACCTATTAAAACTCTTAAAATCAAAGAAAACAAAATGGAGAACAGTAAGCAGTGCTGGAGGTAAAAATCAACTGGAACTCTTATATCTTGCTGCTGGAAATGCAAAATGTTACTATGCATGAAAAGAGTTTGGAGACTGATAAAGTTACACATACAGTTAGCATACCACCTAGCAATCCCAGCTCTAGGTATTTACCCAAAGGAAATAGAAAACTGCGTCCACATGAAGACTTGTTTGTGAATATTTATAGTGACATTTTTCATCATTACCAAAAGCCAGAAGTAATCCAAATATCCCTCAACTAGGAAACGAATGAACAAGTGTGACACAGTCATTTGATGGAATATCACACATCATTAAAAAGGAACAATCTCTGTATTGTATATAGGTGGATATTTATTAAACACATTGTGCTAAGCAAAAGGTAGCATATTCAAAAGTTGCATACTGCAGGATCCCATTTTTATGGAATTATGAAAAAGACAAAACTACAAGGACAGAGAAGGAATCAGTGGTTGCCAGGGGCTGTGGGCAGGCTACCCAGTGGCACAGAAGAATTTGGGGGTGGGGGTGATGGAAACATTCTATACCTTAACTGTGGTGGTGTTTTCATGACAACATAAATTTGTCCAAGCCTATCATTGTATTCAAAAGGGTGAATTTTACTGTATGCAAATTATATCTTAATAAATCTGACTTTTAAACAAAGTGGATTGCTGTAAAAAAATAGTTCTATCAATCAGACTTTCCATTTATTCCATTAATTCAGTAATACTCTCTTTTACTCCAATTAATATTACCAAAGACTCATTTTTATTAACCTTGCTCCTCATGACTATGGATGTATGAAATACCTAATGCATGCAGAGGCTTTATTTTAACCTCTGCTCATGGAGGTGCTACCTACTAATATAATTGAGAGTTCTGAGTTCTCTGTCTGACACCAGCCACTCTTGTCGTTAAGCTAACTGTGAACAGTGTGATGAAGGAAGAAGAGCCAGAGGCCCAAGTGGCTAGTGGGGCACAGTGAGGAGGGAAAAGCAGTTGAATAGTCACCCCACCCAGGAGGCACTCCCAGGCTCAGCTTTGTAGCCATAAGAACATGTGTACTCAAGGTTGACAGAGCACCCATATTCTTTTTTGTTTTTTTTTTTTTAAGATTTTATTTTATTTTTTTAATTCATGAGAGACACAGACTGAGAGAGAGAGGCAGAGACACAGGCAGAGGGAGAACCAGGCTCCATGCAGGGAGCCCGATGTGGGACTCCATCCCTGGTCCTCAGGATCATGCCCTGGGCTGAAGGCGGCGCTAAACCGCTGGGCCACCGGGGCTTCCCAAGGGAAGTTGGAAACTCTGCTTTATATGTGAATTTTCTCAATTTGGGGGAGCTCATTCACTTTTAAAAAATGACACCGTACGGACAAAACAATGCTTGTCTGTGTCTGCAGGTCATGACGTTTACAAGCACAAGTCAAAAGCTGTGGCTACGGAGAAAAGACTTAAAACAAGCCCAGAGTCTGGTGGTTTAACAGAATGACTTCCAAGAAGCTGAAATCACTTCTAAGAAGCTTCAATGCGGCAGACTTTCAACTTGAGACAGGAATGGACATCCGTGTGCACTATGTCTACCAAGTGGGTGTGGGTGCTGTATATGTAGGAAGGACAAAGCATGACCATCATTCTCTGGTGTCAGTATGCACCCTGGGTCACTCTCCACCCTACTTTCTACTCATGAAACCTGACATAGGCCCCAAATCCCTTATCAGAAACTCAACATCCCAAAGGTTTGCTTGTTTGATCTTCATTCACTTTGTGGCCAATGCTGATCTAAAGTAAAGTGAGGCTGCTTAGGGTCTTATCCTCCCTTATGTCCTTACACAGTTGGTGCAGAGTGACCCATGTATGCAATGACAGGGTGCGACCATACCCAGCTTGGGGGTGTTACAATAGATGTATGCGATCCTTTGAGTCTAGCTAGGCAGCTATTCAAAGATTTCCATCATTCTCAGTCTTGAAGTACATCTGTCCCCAACAACTTCATTATAGGTTGTTGTCCTGTGTGACCTTCCCAGGGGTCCCTCATGTCATAAACAACCATTATTAGTACACGCTGATGGCATCGCAGCCCACCAAGGCCCTTCCCCCGCTCCATATGGTGTCAGTCTATACCTCAACCTCTAACTGAAGGACACTTCACCTCACCTACCCAAGTCTTAAACCTTAGGTCTTAAATCCTAAAACTTTCAATGCCCTGGCTATTTATAGAACCTCCCAGGAACAATGACTCCACTCCAAGGCCTGAAGAATTGCAGAGCCTTAAACCCAACAGCTGAAAATAAACATACAATTGGTACTAAAAATTGATCAGTGGTTTCGAGGATCCTAGAAATCAGCACTTAAATCCTTAGGCAGGAAGAGTCCGAGGTGGCTTGCTTATTTATTTATTTATTTATTTATTTATTTATTTATTTATTTATTTTAAAGACAGCACACGTTTAAATGAGGGTCAGGAAACTTTCCTTTCTATAAGAAATCTCACGGAGTAAACATTTTTTTTTTTTTTTTTTTTTTTTTTGTGGAGGAATCAGAGGAGACATGTGGTGCCGGGTTTTTGGTCATGGGAAACAATGGAAAATATTTGCGAGAGGATGAGTTGTGGACCACAGGCCCCCAAACCACAAGGTGAAAACTGTTAGGCCAAAGTGAGGAGAGGAAACTGAAGGTGGCACTAAGCCAGGAAAGGGGTAGGGGTGGGACACTTCCATCCCCACCATCCTCATCACCCACAACCCTTGCTGTGTGAGCAGCATCTTTAAAACAAAGTCCCCGTTCCACTTTCTAACCAAATTGCTGCTCCTAGCCTCTTCTACATGGCTGCTCTTCTAAATCACAGTTAAAATCCTCTAGACAGGGATCCCTGGGTGGCGCAGCAGTTTGGCGCCTGCCTTTGGCCCAGGGCCCGATCCTGGAGACCCAGGATCGAATCCCACGTCAGGCTCCCGGTGCATGGAGCCTGCTTCTCCCTCCGCCTGTGTCTCTGCCTCTCTCTCTCTCAATGTATGACTATCGTAAATAAATAAATAAATAAAAATTTAAAAAAAAATCCTCTAGACAGGGGAGAAAAAAAGGAATTTAATTAAGAGAGGCTCACAACTTACTTTAAAAGGAACATTCAAAGTTCTTGCCTGATTAAATCCTCTACAAAGGTGGGGAGAAAATCAGGAACTCTGACCCAGCCGTTGCTCACTTTAAAATGACACCACCTGGGGCACCCGGGTGGCTCAGTGGTTGAGCACCTGCCTTCAGCTCAGGCTGATCCTGAGGTCCTGGGATCAAGTCCCACATCGGGCTCCCTGCATGGAGCCTGCTTCTCCCTCTGCCTGTGTCTCTGCCTCTCTCTGTGTTTCTCATGAATAAATAAGTGAAATCCTTAAAAAATAAGAATCATAAAATAAAAACAAAATAAAATGACACCACCTTGCTCTACAAAGCGTTTTCCATTCACCAAGTCTCTTTACCATCAAAGAGTCCCTGGGAAGTAACTTGGGGGAAGGGTTTTTTTTTTTTTTTTCATGGCCACTTTACATTTTGGGAAACTGAGTCTTACAAATGATAGAACCCAGAGCTCAGAGCAGAATTAAAGCGCCAGAAGCTTCCTGTTTGCTCTTTCAATTCGGCACCAAACTGGAAAGTGTCCCCATGTCTTTCAGGGCGCACACAAGCTGCTTCTGCCCGGAGCTCCCCAAGAAAGGGGCACCACTTCCAAGGGCTTTTCTCGTCCAGTCGGTGCGCCTGAGAACCTGCGGCCGCGCGCAACGCCAATGTCTCTGGACTCCCGGGCGGTGTATAAGGACTTTGAAAAACCACTGCTACTTTTTTCACCTCCAGGGGCAACTTGTCTCTCCCGACGCATCTGCAGCCCAGCCCGCGGAGGTCCGTGGCTGGACTCGGCTGGGCCCAAAGGGCGGCGCGGCGCGAAGGTGCAGGACGCGGGCGCCCCGCGGCTCCCCCGGACCCGGGACCCCCGCCCCGCGCGGCGCCGTTGGCGGGCGCAGGCGCCTCGGTCCTTCTCCGCGCCCTGCGCGCAGCCCGGCCCGGCCCGGCCCTGTGCGCGCAGCGGTCCCCGCCCGCCCGCGGCCCCGGCGCGCGAGCCCCACCACCGGGCCCCGCGGGGAAGGGCGCCTCAGGCCCCGGCCCCGCTCCCCGCGCCGAGCCCTCTGCGCTCCGGGCGTTCCTCGCCGCAGCCTTCCCGGCCTCCCCAGCCTCGCGGTCCCCCCATTGCCGAGATGAGGAGACTGAGGCGCGCGGCCTCCGGGCACCGCACTGCCGGGAGCCCGCGGCCGCGCCCACCCCCTTTCCGCACGCCCCAGGCACCCCGGCCGCAGCCGGGCTCCCCGCGAGCTGCGCTCTGAGCGCACGTCCCTCCGGGGCCCGGGGCGCAAAGGACCCGGCTCGCCCTCCCGGATCTCCAGCCCTGCCTGACCGGCCCGGGGGAGCGGAGGGGGCAAGGATGCCGGCTCCCCGCTGCACAGGGTGACTGCTGGGGATGGCTTGGACCCGCGCCCCCCGCCCCCCCGCCACGCCCCCCAGCCCCGGGGAGCACCCCGAATCCCAAGATGTGGGACCTCTGAATTCGCCCCGATCCCAGGTAGGCGGCGCCCAGCTGGGTCCTCCAGGCTAGGGCAGGGCCTCTCGGCGCCCCGGGCGCCAGCGCCGGCTCCGGGGCCCTCCCCCTCCCCGCCCCCGCCCCCGCCCGCCCCGGGTCCCGCGACAGCCCCGCAACGGGCTCACTCGGACCCGGGAAGTTCCCGAGCGCCAGCGCCGGCGGGACCGACGCCCGCCCCGCCTTACCTTTGCCCAGCAGCGCGCCCAGCACCAGGCTCAGCGCCCCGCACAGCGGCGCCACCGGCCCGGGGGCCGCGCCCTCGGAGCGCATCCTGCGTCCCGGCAGCTCAGGCCGCCCTCCGCCCGCCCGGGGCGCAGTGCCGGCCCGCGGGCCCCGCCGGCTGTCCCATGCCCTGGGGAGCCCCCCAGCTGCGAGTCGGCCGGCCCGGCTGCGGGTCCGGGGGGTCGCGCCAGCGCGGGCCGTGGCGCGGCGGCGGCTCCGGATCCCGCGGCAGCGCGCGCTCCGGCCGGGACAACTTTTCTCCAGCCACAGCCGCAGCCGCCGCCCGCCCCGCCCCGCCCCCAGGGCCCGCCCCCGGCCCGCCCCGGGCCCCGCCCCGGGCCCCTCCCCGGGCCCCTCCCCGGGCGGGAGCCGAACCCGGAGCGCGGGAGGGGCGCGGGTGCGGGATGGCTCCGGGCGGGAGAGGCCGGGGCGCGGGCTGCGGGCGGGGGGCGCGCGGCTCCCGGCGCTCGCCGACTCGGCTCCGCAGGGTCGCTGCCTCCCTCCCCCGCTCCCTGCGGCTCGCGTCCCGGAGGCTTCGGCGCGGGGACCCGCGACTCATGACGGAGCTGGACCCCCTCCCTCGCCACCCTCCCGTGGCCGCGGCGGGGCGAGCGGTAGTGTCTCCCCGCGCCGCGATTTCAGGTCATCCCCTGATTTCTTTTTTGTCTGGAGATCTGAGGACAGGTGGAATTCACAGTCGCGTGCATCTGCTGCGGAAAGCTCAGATAGATGGAGAGATCGATCATTCGGTGGGGCCGGCAGCGTGCAGAGCGGCCTAACGAGGGACACGGGCGGATAAAGGCGTGTGCACACCCGTGTGTGTCTGTGTGCGTGAGGCAGAAGGTCACCGCGGGATCTCTGAGCGGGGACCGGGACGCTGGGGTGCAGGCACATCCTTTTATGTGTCTGGGTCTCGCCTCCCTCCCCTGTGTTTTCACTAACTCTTCGGGGAGGAAATAACCCTCTCCCCCAGCAGACCTGCTTCCGCAATAGCCTGGGAGATGTACACGCGCCCCCCAATGCCACCCCACTTCCAGATGCTCCCAGCTCACGCTCCTGCGCTGACCTCCTTCCTCGCGGGGACCCCAGCTGCTTGCCTGCGCCCTTACTGATGCTCCTGCCACATGGGCCGAGCGGGGGGTCAGAACTATCTGAAGGCGAGACCCCAACTCCCTCTCCTGTCTGTGAGTAAGAGGCTGTGCCTTAGGAGCCCAGAAACTTCCGGGGGGGGGACACCCCTCCCCAGCTGCACCTGGTGGTCCCCTGAGGTTGGCGTCTGGGGTCTGAGCTCCTGGGAAACAAGAGTTCAGCAGCCCACTAATAACCACTTCTCACGGGGGGGGGGGGGGGGGGGCTGGCTTAGTCCAGCCTCTGGGAAGGAAGCCTACCTGTGCCATGTGTCATCATCCTACCTGGCCACTAGAGCCTGGAATGAATTTCAAATAAAAGAAAAAATAGTATTTGATGGAATGAAAAGGAACAAGGAAAATCATCAGTGCAACCTCAAACCCATTTCTGGCGCCCCACCCCTGCCCAGTCACAAAAGAGCAGGGGCCCAGCAGGAGGAGAGACCAGCCTTGTGGGGAGTAGGGGGAGGGTGAAGGCTTGGTGCACTCCCAGCTGGGGCCCCTTCCTTCTCCCAGCTGGCTGGCTGGGATTCTGGATAGAGCACTCACTCACCACTCACCCTCTTTCTCAGTCTGGCCCACTTGCCTGATGTGGGGAGAAGGCAAAGCAGCCAGGAAAGCAGGAAAACCAGCCAGGCCACTTCTGGGAGGCCTGGGTGGCAGAGACTTCATTTTTAAAGTGGATTATGCCGATAATTGCCCAATTCTTCAGCTCATTCAGCTAGTGTAGACAAACCTCGGGAAGCAGTCATAAAGTAGACTCGGGTTCCTAAAATGGAAAACACGTCTCCTTCTTATTTTTATTCGTTAGCCTAAAGTCACTGGAGAAGAAATATTTTTCATTTAAATGTTTCTAGCCTCAGTGAGAAATACAACATATTATTCCTGACTGAAGGGTTGAGATCTGCTTCATCTTCTCTCACTTCTGTCTGAGGAGAGAAACAAAAAGCCCCTAATAATGCCCTCTACTCCCCTGCCCTTCTCATTTGTAAGTTTGTAATTTGCAACCCACCCTGTCCCTCCACGCATACACATAATTTCTTTTCTTTTGCCACAAGATATTGCCTACCACGGCAAAGCCAAATGCAGGAGGTGGTCCAGGACTCCATGGTGCAAATAATCAAGACAGAAAAAAAAAAAAAAACCTGAACAAACCACAGAAAGGTACATAACAATTGAAGATGAGAAGAAAAACAAGAAGGTCCTCAGGGGAACCCACTTTACAGTACCATCAGTGTTCTGAATGTCAGGTGCCCCTGAGACTGATGTCTCCAAGCACTGGCCGGCAAAAGCCTCCCTCCTGCTCCTTCAGGTGTGGACACAAGGGAGTCCAGGCAATGGGTGCTTCTTTTCTGCAAATCTGTTTAGGGTCCCGTTTAATCTACCCTGTGACCTTCTAGATATCAAACAAATTTGCGGGCAAAACCAAACAAAGACAAGGGAGGATGTGGTAGAGTGACCCCTTTCTTAGGAATATCCCCCGAAATACAGGCAAGAACTTACAGGCTCATGGGCTTACAGTTTCCTGTATTTATTATATCAAGGCATGTGTTATTTAACCCCCAAATCATTGATTCCTTAACTTAAATGACTTCCAGATGCTTTTCTGAATTTCATAACAAACATCAGAGACCACTAATCCCCTCAAAGGCTTTTGAGAAACTCCCTGTGGGCTGCGGGCACATGGAGACAATTGATGTGATTTATAGGACATAGGAGCTGATGGAGAGGAAGCCTGCTGCAAGCCTGCTGCCTTCACGCGTGCCTGGGGTTCCTAACTCAGATGACTTCAGATTGCTTACATTCCACATTTTTAATACCGTGTAAAATGAGGGATGGAACTCATGAAGTTAGCTCACCTGTTTCTCATAAGGTGTGCCTCTGGATGGGGGACCTATAGGTATAATATTGCCAAGAACAAGGAAAACAAGGGCTATGTGTTGGCCTCATGAGACAGCTATGGTTGTCTTACAGATGTAATATGAAGTCCTTTGTATGAGGGAGAAGAAGGAAGGAAAGAAGGAAAGCAGGAAGGAAGGAAGGGAAGGAAAAAAGAAAGGGAAGGGAAAGGAGGGATGGGGGAGGGATGGAAGGAAGGAGGAAGGAAGGCATGTGTTTAGTCATCTGGGCTGGCATTTTTCTCAATGTTTATGGGCCTCAACTCATTTAAGCCTCACTATAGCCCTGACGGGAGAATTATTACTGTCCTTTGACATTTCATTCATTCAGTCAACAAATATTTATTGATTGTTCACCATTTGTCAGGCCCAGATATGGGGTTCTAGCATTGAACCAAACAGATGGAGGTCCTACACTCACAGATCTTGCATTCCAGGAGACAGACTCTAAAGAAATTCATCCTATAAGACAGCAATTTCTGGGAGAAGTGCTTTTCAGCCCGAGAAACCCAAAGCACAAAGGCCAGGAGGTGGAAGAGCCAAAGGTCCCATTTTCCTTCAGAAGGGTCACTGGCCTCATAGAGGCTTACAGTGGGAGGTAGACACAGGGTCGTGCTGTGAAGGCAGAAAGGAGCTGATGCTGCCTCCTGCAGGTGGAGGCAAAGGCCCTGCTGATGGATGGTGGGGGCGGCGAGAGGGCAGCAATTGTCTGGGTTTTGGCCCAAGCAACTGGGTACCTAATATGCCTTTTAGAGAGGTAGGAAAGATGAGGAGGTGAGCAGTTTTGGGGGTACTTTGGACAGGAGGCGACTAAGGCTTAGGACAGGAGCTAAAGCCACACACCAGTAGATGGCAGTGGCGGCGGTCCAGGTGAGCTCTCCATCTGGCCCAGAAATGGACTGTAGCCCTCAACTCTGAGTTAAAATTGGTAAAATCCATAAGCCTCGGATTCTCTCTTCCTTTGGCAGACTCCGGATCTGAACCTGGCTAAGATGGAGCAGGGTAGGAAGTAGAATATGGAAACAGCATGTCTTTCCTTCCTTCCTACATACACACCTGCCTTACATGGATCAGGATTCCAGCCTGGTGGCAACACCAGAGACCATTCACCATACACTCCTGTGCACTACACGCTCATTTATTTCTTGTCTATCTGCAACTCTCCCCAGCCCACATCAGCTCCTTTCTCGTCCTTCAACAAGTGTGTGCGCAAAGATAAACCCTGCTCAGTGAGTAGCTATCATGAAGCTATAGATTACTAGCCCCACTTTACCAATGGGGAAGCTGAGCCTCACGCATTTTACCTTCAGCTCACTTTGCCTGTAAGAGTAAAACATGATGACCACAGTAATGGCAGTAACATGTATTACATGCTTGCTAATTGCCAAATAAACCTGTTAACAACCTATGGATATATACTTTATTATCCCATTTTACAGACAAGGAAGCTCATGTCACAGTGGTTATGTGGCTTGTTCAGGGTCACCCAGCTGGGAAGTGGTTGAACTGGGTTTGAATCTAGGCCATCTGCGATCATTCATTACACTGACCTGTGTTCAGATGCATGCTCATATCTGCACAGGTGTCTTGGTAACCTGTGTTAGGTCTTGCTTGCTAGACCTTTCTTTTTTGAACAAACACTGAAAAACTATCCCTTTGTAACTTCCACTCAACCTAACAGATAAGCACCCCAATGCCTTGTGCTGCTTTGGCATCTATCTCTGCCTGAACTTAGCTTCTATGGAAATTAATTTCCTCTGAGAGGGAACATGGGCCCAGCCAACCCAACTAAGATGCAAGATGCACGTGACTTTTGGCCCATGAGAACAACTTTAAGACTGATGCTCAGATGCCCACATTGACCCTTTTCCTGTATCCCTCCTGGTACCTGCTACCTTCCCAGACCTTGAGTAAAGACCCACAGAATGGATTTTTCTACCCATCACCTATCTATTCAGGATTCAAGTTCAGCAAGTGGTTCTATATAAACTGAATAATAATGCTTCAGATTAAGTGACAAATGGAAGTAATCACACTGACATTTCCTTAACTGCATTTGTATCATGATTATCACCATCATCATCATCATAACCACCACACCACCATCACCATTATCATCACTACCACTACCATCGCCACCATCACCACCACCACCACCATCACTGTCAGCATCTCTAACACTTCCAGAC